GATAAGGCTTGAGCACACTACGTGCTACAGAGAGAGCCCTGTGCTGGCATTTTTTGTCTTTAGGGCTTTTTTTTTTAAATTTTTTTAATTGATTTGAGAGAGAGAGGGAGAGAGAAGCGTCAATGATGAGAGTCATTGATCGGCCGCCTCCTGTATGCCCCCTACTGGGGATCGAGCCCGCAAACCTGGCATGTGCCCTGACCGGGAATCAAACCTCAATCTCCTGGATCATAGGTCAATGTTCAACCGCTGAGCCACACTGGCTGGGCGTCTTGAGAGCTTTTCTCGCTCTTTTCCCAGCAGGAATCTTAGAGGAGGTCTCAGGGGAGAGTTTCAGCAGAATATTCATCAGTTTTCCAGGTGTGTTCTCTAATACGTTGATAATCCAAAATGAGTGCACAGAGAGACCAGGGTCATTTTCTGGTCAGCTTTGCCTCTATCTTGGATTTCTTTGAGCCTAATTGGGTTTTTGTTATCCATCCCCCTGACTTCATCCGTCCTTGGGTTTGGCTGGCACTAGGGGCACTGACTGGGTCTCTGCTATCTGTCTCCCTGACTGGGATATTTCAGCTGCTTGCTCTCTGGTTAGGGAGGAGAGGCGTAAACTATTTGCTCTCAAGTATCTCTGGTTAGGGAAGAGAAGATCTTGTGATTTACTAGCTGACTGTAAATTGCTTGATTGGTTTGGCCCTATTTGTCTGACCATTTGCCTCAGTTTGCCTCAGTTTCCCTTTTTCCACTTGTCAAAAACTTTCCTAACATCTAACTATCCTGCCTCAAGGTGGTCAGCACTGATGTCCCTGGCTTCCTTCTTTAATTTTCTTTTCAGTTGCTCTCGGTTGAATTGTGGCAGAGGCCACACAGTCCTTCATTCCCAAAGGGTTCCAGTCCTCAGCATCCCAAGTACCAGAGTCTGTTGATGTGTTCAAGCAAAGATATTACATCTGGGACAGCAACTTCAACTGAAATAAACATCTCACTAAGTTTATGATAACCCACAGCCATTCTCCAAGACATACTTTTTAAAAATATATCTTGCCCGGCTGGGCGTGGCTCAGTGGTTGAGCATCGACCTAGGATCCAGGTGATCGGGGTTCAATTCCTGGTCAGGGCACATGCCCAGGTTGCCGGCTTCATCCCCAATGATTCTCTCATCATTGGTGTTTCTCTCTCTCTCTCCTCTGCTGCCCTCTCTCTGAAATCAATAAAGATATATATTTTAAAAAAAATTTTAAAAAATTAAAAAAATATATATCTTTATTGACTTCAGAGAGAGAGAGAAACATCGGTGATGAGTCATTGATCGGCTGCCTCCTGCACGCCCCCTGCTGGGGATCGAGCCCAAAACCCGGGCATGTGCCCTGCCCAGGAATCAAATGGCGATCTCCTGGGTCCTAGGTCAATGCTCAACCGCTGAGCCACATCGGCCGGGCTCCAAGACATTTTTTATACATTTTAAAGTTAGTGGCAGATACCAGTATACTTCTGCCCAATGCTTTATTAACTAGACTATATCATTAACTTGATTTCCTGGGTATTTGAAGTTATCCAGTGCCTCACCTGGGTCATCTTGTAGCAGAGTGCCTCAGGTGAGACACTTCCCCTTGAACAGTTTTTCTTGGCAAGCTACAGGTAGATTTCCAAAGGGCAAGCTTTTAAAGGGCAGGTTTCCAGAAAGATCCACTAGCACAGCACCACAGCAACTTCTCTGCCGTTCAGTTAGCCATGGCCGTGCCCTCTCCAGCAGGGTCTGGATCTCAGCCCTGGGAGGGCGTTTTCCTTGAGTGCTCTCTCTCATCACTAGAGGAGCTGTGCAACTTGGCACCACAGAGTTGCCCAAATTGGGACAATGGGTCTGGAATCCCAGCATCAAACAGTCATTGAATGAATATAAGCTGTCCCTGGAAAGGGAATATTACATTGAAATCTTTTTTTTTTTTAATCCTCACCTGAGGATATTTTTTTCCATTGCTTTCTAGAGAGAGTGCAAGGGAGAGAGAGAGAGAGAAACATCGACGTGAGAGAGACACATCAATCGGTTGCCTCCCACACAGGACCCCGACCGGGGCTGGGATCGAGCCAGCAACCGGGGTACGTGCCTTTGGCTGGAGTCGAACCCAGGACCCTTCAGTCCTAAGGCTGATGCTCTAACCACTGAGCCATACTGGCTAAGGCCAAAGTACCTTTCTTACGGTACTCCAGAAAGGGGTATGTGTTCCAGAAATATCCTCGTGGGTAGAAGCAAACTGGATTTTAAAATGGTCAGGAATAGGGAGGCCATGGATAGTCCCCGGGTGTGACTACCCCCAATATCAAACAAACAAAGGCTATGAACATACAATTTATTCAATTGACAAATATTTATTGAGCACCTATTGTTTTAGACACATGCTAAAAGCAATACCATTGGCCGAACAAGTATGTAAATAAATGGTCACCTCTATATTAATCATAATCAAAGAAATGCAAGTGAAAACAAAAATGACTTTTCCATTTTCATTTATCAATGGTCTTTGTTCAAAATAAATGTTTTCTCCAGGGTTAGAAGAATGTGATTCTTTGGGATCTCTTCTACTGCAGGTAGAAGCATAGATGCATAATTTTCCTAAAGGCACTTGAGCAATGTATATAAAACAGCTTAAAACGTACACATTTATTTTTTTAAAAATGCCTTTATTGATTTCAGAGAGAGGAAGGGAGAGGGAGAGAGAGATAGAAACATCAGTGATTAGAGTCATTGATCGACTGCCTCTTGCATGTCCCCTGCCCGCAACCGGGCATGTGCCCTGACTGGGAATTAAACTGTGATCTCTTGGTTTCTGGGTCAATGCTCAACCACTGAACATAACCAGCCAGGCTGTAAATTTTTTAAATAAAGAGTATGTTATGTATAACCTTATATAAATATAAAAATCAGGATGTATATATAAGACACTGATACCAGTAATTGCTAAGTAATAGTTAATGGAGTGAAGAGGGGGCAGAGATAGTGTGGAGACTTATGTTTGTATACCAAATTGCATAACTTTAAAATTTTTATTTTGTGCATGTGTATTAACTATTCAAAGTAACAATCTTTAACGTCATAGCTTTGAGCTCCTCCAACTGTACATCCTAATTAAACCACTTAAAGAAAAATGACATACAGAACACTGCTTTCTAATCCTTTGTAGGCGGTGGCACATGCAGAAAATGCAGGTGCTTTTATGGAACACTCAGGATGTCTGAGAAGATCGATGACATTTGGGGTGCAACAGGCCCCTCTGCCCCAGACACTGCCTGGCTACCCCAAGGGCTGAGAGAATCTATTTCTTGAGATTTCTCAGATTCACAAGCCTTGATCCAAATATCATTGGGGCTGGATCAAGGCTGTTTTCCCATCACTGTCATCTCCTGGAGTTATAATACCAAAATTCTAAAAGCATAACTAATCCAGAACAGGTGAAGTCCCAAACATTCCCTTTCAAATTAGCTTCTTAATTTTAATAGGTTGGACTAAATTTTACTTATATTTATTTTCACAAATGATAACCATCCACAATTTGTCTTTTGGGAGCTATCCTTGTTGAGTTGTTTTTTTTTAATCAGAATTTTATTTAGCCTTGAAAATGAACTGGCAGATAATCCCTTCTCTCAGGGGTTAATGGTTCCTTGAAGTTGTTGTAAGTAAAACTAATTTCTCTGAAGGGACAAGAGCTTTGATGACTTTTTACATCTTTTTTACAATCACTGACTTATTCAGGTATTCTACATGTTCTTGAACCAATTTTGATATTTTTAAAATCCGTTCTCTCTAGATTTCAAATATATTAGAATAAAGTCATGCATAGAAGCTACTTTAAAAGAAATCCACCCCTTCCTCATTCATAGTGGTAAATGTGTTTTTTTCTAGATCAGACTTGTTAATCACCTTATTATATATCTTGTTAAATAAACAACGTCCAGCCTGGCTGGCATGACTCAGAGGTTGAGTAGCGACCTAGAATGGAGGAGACTGCAGTTTGATTCCCGGTCAGGGCACATGCCTGGGTTGCGGGCTCGATCCCCAGTTGGGGGCGTGCAGGAGGCAACTGATCGATGACTCTCTCATCATTGATGTTTCTCTCTCTCTCTCCCTTCCTCTCTCTGAAATCAATAAAAACATTAAAATAATATTTTAAATAAACAACATCCAGATTAAGTCTACTGTTGTTTTCTACTTTTTCTTTTCTTTTTAATATTCATTTTTACTGTTGACTTGGGTTTATGTGGTAATTTTCTCCTAGTTTTTAGAGTTGACCATTCATTCACTGTGCCTGGTATGTGACTTGCAATGACTAGTTGTTGAAGATAAACATTTAGAGAACAAAACCCCTACCTTCAATTCTTGCTTCTGCTTTGGCTACAATGAACTGACTTTGATACGTAGAATTCACTGTCATTCATTTTTAGTTTGTAATTTTAGTTTTGATTTTTCTTGAAATAAAGATATAGTTGGTGGTTTTAGATTTCTAAATGGCAGATTTCTTTTGGCTACTTTTCTTTTAACTTCTCATCTTCTGATTTTTTGTTCTGTTTTCAGTTAAAAGATGGGAGACAATGTTTTACTGACTTTGCTCTTATGAAAGGGTAGCTATAGGCACCCAGGACTAATCTGAATTTCCAGCCTTTTGAATGAAGTACTTCTCGTGATAATGACACTTTACTACTGTTTTTCAGAGTGAATTACTGTAACAAGAGGTTCATAAGGGCATTTTAATATTTGGTACATTCACAAGGTCTTCCTCTCATATGAATCCCTTAATAGTAATACCATTAATGAAAATAACTAATACTTACTCAGCATAGTCTTTATATCAAATACCTGACAGTCCTCACAAAAACACTGTTAGGTAGGCATAATTATCACTGCTTAAAAATAAGTAAACTGAGGAACAGGTAGATTGCATAATTCGCCCACTGCTATACCATCAGTAACTGGTAGAAATGAGATAACGTTAAGGTATATGCCACGGCAGAAGGCACATTCACAAAATATTTTAATAGGGTTATTTTCTACTAGAATTTCTCAGTTTAATACATTTTGAGTGGTAAGAGAAGACTTTACATTCATATTAATATTCTTTCACCATAAGTTCTCTGATACATAGTAAACAGTGTACAGCAAAAATAACAACATTTATTAAATTTTCTTCCAGTATAAGTTGTCTGATGTTCCACAATGGAAGTGACAAATGAAGGTTTTCCGAGATTACAATACATTAGGCATTACCTAATATTAAGTCAGGTGTGACCACCATATAAAGGCTTTCCTACATCCCCAATATTCAAAGCTTCCTAACCAGTATGGATTCTGTAGTGTTCAATGAGCTGTGCACCAAGAACAAAGGCCTGCCCACATTCTCTGCACTCATAAGGTTTGATACCAGGGTGAATTCTCTGATGTTCAGTAAGTTGTGAACTACGAATAAAGGCCATTCCACATTCCCTACACTGATAGGGTTTATCACAAGTATGGATTCGCTGATGATGAGTCAGTTGTGAAACACGAATAAAGGCTTTCCCGCATTCCTTACATTCGTAGGGTTTGTCACCAGTATGAATTCTTTGATGTTGAGTAAGGTATGAACTACGACTAAAGGCCTTCCCACAGTCCTTACATTCGTAGGGTCTGTCACCAGTGTGAACTCTCTGGTGCCGAGTAAGCTGCGCATGCTGTCTAAAGGCCTTTCCACATTCCTTACACTCATAAGGTTTCTCCCCAGAATGAATCCTTTGATGCCGAGTAACTTCTGAGCTGTGAATAAAGCCCTTTCCGCATTCCTTACACTCATAGGGTTTCTCGCCAGTATGAATTCTCTGGTGTACAGTAAGTTGTGAGTGCTGCCTAAAGGCCTTCCCACATTCTTTACACTGATAGGGTCTAGCACCTGTATGAATTCTCCGATGAACAGTAAGTTGTGAGCCACGAATAAAAGCCTTCCCACAATCTTTACATACGTAAGGTTTCTCACCGGTGTGAGTTCTTTGATGCAAAATAAGTTGTGAATGCTGTCTAAAGGTCTTTCCACACTGGTTACATTCATAGGGTTTCACACCAGTATGCAGTCTCTGATGCAGAGTAAGTTCTGAAGTACGACCAAAGGCCTTTCCACATTCCTTACAGTCGTAAGGTTTCTCACCTGTGTGAATTCTCTGATGCTGAACAAGGTGTGAGGCCCGACTGAAGGCCTTCCCACATTCCTTACATTCAAAGGGCTTTTCACCAGTGTGAGTTTTCTGATGTTGAATGAGGTGTGAGCCACGGCTAAATGCTTTCCCGCATTCATCACATTCAATCAGTTTCTTACCGGACTCGTTGCTTTGACGTAGAGTGAGCGATGTATGATGCTCAAAAGTAGGTATGTTTTCATACGTGATCTTCACTTGCTTGAAACAGCATTCCTGATTTAGTTGTCTTTGAAACTGGCGTTTGTATTCCCAGTCATCTCTAAAACTAGAGCTCTCAAAACCACAGCATTTAAGGCTTTCCATTAGCTCCCAATTGAATGTCTCTACTTCAAAAATATCTTTCTGTGGTAATTTCTCACACTTAGACTCCAAGTCTGAAAAAAATATATATATAAAAAATAAATACAAGCTGTTCTCTTCTAAAAGAAATAAGAATATTCTACAGTAGATTAGAGAAATAAAATGAAAATAATAAGCATAAAAGATGAATGGCTTATATTGAGGCAGGATAGAAGGAAGTTAGGGAAAACTCCCGAAATGGAATGAGGAAGTAGGAGCGGACATCACAGGCCCATAAGCACTAGGTCCTCTCACCAGAGCCCCAGCCTCACGCATGGTCAAAGGGAAACAGCTTACGGCCGGAAACTCCTGCGGTGGTCGCAGAGTCAACAGCAGCAAGGACTGGCTAAAATCAGATCGGAAAAACTGACCAGAAAAAGACGCCATAGCTCATTCTACCATCATTAAAATGAAAACTGACATCATTATAATGAGAAAGACTCCAAAGCTCGTTATTATCATCATTGTAAGAAAAACAAGTAGAAGGGGGGCTGAGGGGGGCACACACCCTGACGCTTCCTGAACGGACCACATTAGGGACAAGGGCCTCCACCCAGAAGGCAGAGTCGGAATCTGGCACCACGCACTTCAGAAGCCACCTACCCTTGGAAACACATAAAACCCCAAGGACTGGCTGGCCCAGCGCACAGCTTGTGAGCGTGCCCGAGTCTACTCGGACGCAGGGTCCTGGGAGACCTGCAACCGGGAGCAGCAGGCGGCTCAGCCCCTGGTCCTGTCTCCAGGAATCCACACCCTAGCCTCTGTCTCTCTCCCTGAATAAAACTTGCTTTTGCTCTCACCTGGATTCTCATTCGAAATCATTTTTGTTGTTGTTAATCCTCACCTGAGGATATTTTCTCCACTGAGTTTTTATTTTTATTTATTGATTTATTTTTAATACTCTCACTGGAGAATATTTTTTCCATTGCTTTTCAGAGAGAGTGGAAGGGGGGAGAGAGAGAGAGAAACACTGATGTAATAGAGACACATTGACTGGTTGCCTCCCGCACATGCCCTGAATGGGCTGGGGAGCGAGCCTGCAACCGAGGGATGTGCCTTTGGCTGGAATGGAACCCGGGACACTTCAGTCTGTGGGCCAGCGCTCTAACCACTGAGCAAACCCAGCTAGGGCCTCCACTGATTTTTTTAGAGAGTGTGGAAGGGAGAAAGGGAGGGAGGGGGAAAAGGGGAGGAGGGGGGAGAGAGAGAGAGGGAGAGAGAGAAACATTGATGTGAGAGAGACACATCGATGGTTGCCCCCTGCTTGCGCCCTGACCAGGCCAGGGATCAAACTTGCAACTCAGGTACATGCCCTTGACCCGGAATCTAATCCGATACCCTTTGGTGTGTGGGCCAATGCTCTAACCACTGAGCAACACTGGCCAGGGCTGAACTCATTCTTGAATTCTTTCCTGTGCGAGTCAAGAGCCTGGAGGTCTCAGACTGTGTTGGGGCAGGACCAACCCTGGCATGGAACCTGTACGGTGATAATGCCTCAGATATCACTGTGCAAGTTCTAAAAGGCACATGAAAGCACAAATATGAGAGCTTATACAGTGCCAGAAAGAAACAAAAACACATTAAACCAGGGGTTCTCAATTTCAATAGGGATCGGAATCATCCAGGAGGCCTGTTAATAACATTTACTAACATTTATATAGTGGCCACAATTGCCTGGCATTGTTCTGGGAATTTTCACATTATTATTAATGCATACAAAAGCCACAACAACTACATGAGACACTATTTTTCTCCCATTTGCAGAGGAGAAAACTGAAGCACAGAGAATGTAAATAGTTTACCTAAACTCACAAATCTAGTAAGTGGAGAGGCAGGATTTGAACTCAGGCAGTCTGACTCCAGAGTCTGTCCTCAGCAAACTACATATCCTTACCTCTCAGAAGTTAATAGGTGAATTGCTAAATGAGGTAAAGTGAGAAGCTGTCTTAAGAAAATAAGTGTTTTTTAAGGGATGAAGAGATTTGCAGAAAAAAGGATCCAAAGTACAGGAAAAAAGGCTGCCACTGGGAAAATGGGGGTCAGCCCATTTTGAAGTGGGATGAAAATATAAGAAAGAACAGAGAGGAATTAATGGGGGTCAGGGCAAGGTTCCCTTGGGAGCTGATGCTGACAAGGTCTTTGTTCTTCACGTCTCAGGCTTCTATTTTCCTCAGTTTTTGGCAAGGCTTTGAGAGGAGTTTCCTGACAAGAACTCAAGCTACTGTTTGACAGCTCTTCCACTGGGCTATTATTCCTAATGGCCTCCTCCGCCCGGTCACCCTTGCTCACCTGGGCACCTTGGTGCTGTCATATCATTTGCAATCATCCAGGGCTCTTTCCCTTGCTCCAATAAGGAGATGACATCAGGCTTAGAAATGGAAAGTCCTGTTTATAGGAAGAGAAATGGGGAATGATCATGCTGTTCCAAAATTCAAACCTAATCTCTTGTCACCGAGAAAGAGAGGCAATTACGTAAAGGAAGGTGTGAAGGTTGTTAACTATGGTGCTATTCTCTATTTGCCCTCTTTCCCCCCTAATCCATTCCTTGCTGTTCCTGACCCTTCTCTGTGCCCCGGACACTTACCTGTAAAGGACTGTATTATGCTGGCCCTATAATTTTTTCATTGGATTTGGCAGAGGGAAAGCATCAGCGGGAGGTCAGCAGGCAGGAGGAAAGGGTTCAGAGTATTTCTTATCCCTCCCCCTTGCTCCTTTGACCCAAGAGTTCTGGAAATAGCTTTAGCTGCTGCTAACCAGGCCCTTCTCCATGACTTAGCTCCCTCACTCTTCCAGTGGCAGTGTTTCCTCCCTTTACCCCTTCTGGCCAAAGGTGGTAACAGCTTCCCACTTGTAGTCCCTGGGAGCTTGTTTCCGTCTGGCCTTGTATTATACAATCTCCTTACCTAGTGAGACCAAGTTACCAAAGTTCTCCAAAGTCACATCCCTGTACAAGTCCCTCTGGGCAGGTTCCAGATACTTCCACTCTTCCTGAGAGAACTCTATGGCCACATCCCTGAATGTCACCAATCCCTGAAACAATAAACCCATGCATTACTAGTAAACGAAACAATTTTCTCATTTATTACAAACATTTTTAAAATACACAGAAGTATACAAAATAGTGTACTGACCCCATAAATCCATCACCCTGCTTCTACAATTAACAAGAGTTTGCGAATCTTGTTTCCTCTCTTCCCTTTCACTTTCTTCCCCTGGTGTATTTTGAGGCAAATCCCACATACCAAACATCTTAGCATTTCACCCACAAATACTTTAGTATCTAACAGATTAGATTTTTTTAAAAAGCATAACCAGAATAACATTATCATATTTAGTAACATTAACAATAATTTCCTAATAACCAGATCAAGTTTCAAATTGCCCCATTTTCTCAAAAGTGATTTTTTACTGTTGATTTGTTCAAGTCAGGATTCAAACAAGATCCACACATTGTGTTTAGTTGATAGGTTTCCTAAAGTCTCTCAAATCTCTAACAGGCTCCAAAGGCCCTTTAAAATTTTTATTGCTATTTATTAAAGAAACCTTTGAATCAGAATTTCCCACATTTTGGATTTAGCCAACTGCATCTTCATGCTATAGTTTAATATGTTCTGTTTCCATATTTTCTGTGAAAGGCTGTTCGATCTGGAGGCCTGATTGACTGTTTTTTGAGAGAGCATGAATATGCTAAAGGTGGTACTGTTTACTTCCTGTAGTGTCCCAATAGGAGGCATATAATTACTAGCTGTCCCAGTTAGAATAAAGTTAAAATTGATGAGTAGGTTCAGGTTTTAACAACCTGATCCATCCAGGAAAATGTTTTTAAGATAAAAAGGGAAGGGTGCTGTCGGAAGGAGGTGATCAAGCAGGCAAGCTAGGCTGAATGCCTAAGCCACAAAGGAACTGCAAGCAGCACATTTATATGACAAAGGCCTACATGCTTTGCATATTCCTGTGGCTACAGATAAGAACTGCCTCCTTCATTCAGCCAGAATCTCTTCTACTGTCCACAAGGTCTATGACTGAGCAAAGGCTAGCTAAATGAGGTCTTATAAATAAACAAAATAACACATACAAAACACACAGCAAACACAGGCCTAGCAAATAATCAAGTCTTTACAAATGCATCCCTTTTTACCAATTTTCTCCCTTGAGATAAAAAAGAAAGAATCCAAAATGTCTTATAAATCTCTATCTTAAATATAGGATTCAAACAAGATCCACACATTGTGTTTAGTTGATACGTTTCCTAAAGCCTTTCAAATATTCTTTATAGAAGTTTTAAATCTATCCTGAAGACTCAGGGTCATAAGTAGCCTGTGGATCTCAACCTAGATTATACCTTCCTCTTTAGGATGCACTTGGGACGATGCAGAGGGTGGTCTAGTTGTTACAATGTTGGAGACGTTGGTCTGGGGGTGCAGGGGTGGGCAGTGTGCTACAGACATTAATGCTGGCTGGCATCAGGAATGTTAAATGTCCTGAATGTTAAGTCTCTGGGCTACGTACCCAGGACAGTCCCCTACAACAAAGAATTATATGACTGAATATGACGACAGTGTTCCCACTGCTTCTGTTAGACTTCATGAACAATTCTTGGTTATGGCAAATTTTATAATAAACACAGGGATTTTTATTTGCTACATAATATTGCACTTTACATCTTATAAGATATAATCATTCCATTATTTCAAGGGCAATTAGCTTAAATAAGATTTGTAAAATCTTCACAGTTTATTACATACTGTGAATATTTATCACCCTTTACTGTCTACTTTTCTTTGTTCCTGAAAAAAAGAAAAATGAAGGAGGTGGACCTCAGTCACATAAACGTGGCCCACAACCAACACATATTGTTCAACCTCAAAATGGACCATTTTACAGTTACTCATCTCATAAATTCCCTTGCAAGACCGGAGAACTTTTGATAGTGTGAAGATTTTTATGATTTTTAAAGAGGGGGTGATATTTAAAAACAGAAGAACAGGAAACTACCCAGGTTAATGAAAACGATCAAAATTCTTATCTTTGTCCCCTTTCATCCATAGTGCTAATAAGGGAGGCTCTCGAGAGAATCTGTCTCTGCTGCATTGGCGCTCTGATCACAGCACTGTGCACACACGTGAACACTGCTGGAGAGGGCCAGCGTCACTAAGGGAAGTGGGGCACCATCACTCACTCTCTGGAATGGAAGAACTGGAAACAGGTTACTGAACGGGGCTCAGCTGAGACAGGGAAGTTTCAGGATAAAGAACACAAATGTTCATATGATCTGGAAGAAAGGTTACTTCAAGGATAGAGGGAACTTCAACTTACCTGGGCCATGGCCTTTAGAACTACCCAACCTGCTCAGATTTCTCTAGGTTCTTCTCTTGGACAAGCACGGAGTCCTGAAAAAGCAGAGTAGGGAAGGAGCAAATCTCTCATAAATTGGGCTTGCCTCAGCAATCCTAAGTAGATGAGCTGAAAAACAACTGAACTTCTAGTGTCCTGCTCTGCTTCCCCTGCCCTCCCCTGGTCTTGCCACACACCACTAATGCTAAGAACTACAGCTTTAACAAAACCCAGCCCCTCCTTAAACCTTAGGGAAACCAAAAGATGGATTCAAGGCACATGTGCTCCAGCGCTGACACAGAATCCGTGCAGCTCAGCAGGAGGGGTTCTGGCCCAAACAGGCCCTCATCTTGTTTCTGCTAGTCTATGCCCAAACGGGCCTAGATAGCTCCCACCTGTTCCAAGCAGATCTTCCTGTGCACCCGTAGCAAGGAGGATCATAACCTTCCTCGCCCACTTTACCCCCTCAGGGTGAGGAAGTGCGCGCACAGCATACTGTACAGGCCACACCCTGTGCAAAAGCCACTCTTAGACAAAGTCTTCCAGCTTTTGTGGGCTCGACAGGCAAAGCCTCTCGGGTGCCTCCTTGGCTTCACTTTCTCTTCCTAAGTCCAAAAGGGGGCGATGCCACCCATGCCAGAGGCTTCGTCAAAGCCACCAGCCCCAGCTGGATTCACTGGACAGGAGCAAGAAAACCACAGTAATCCAGGCATCTTACAAGCATACCTGCACATCCAGAATATGGACCTGAGTGGGAACTCAATTTATAGCAGCCTCCTGGCCCGGCACCTATTTTCCATTTAAACCCTCCCTATTGCTTTCCTGCAGAACATCACTTCATCACTGGCTGGCAGTTACTGAGGCTGCAGTTCTGTGGAGAATGGCCTGTACCTCCAGGTAATGAGATTTCAGGGGTTTTAAGGAGAGCAGCAAGGTTGGTTTTAATTAGAGGGGCAAGAAGCTTCCCATGGTGGGTGTGTCAGAAGGAAGATTAATGTAACCAATGGGGGTGGTGGCGAGGAAAACTTCCCGCAAGTTATAGAACATGATCTGGGACCTAAAAATCAGAGAATTTTAATATACAGAATAGGGATAGAGGAGCATTCTGAGCAGAGTGAAGAGCAGTGCAAAACAGTGGGCCAGTATATGGTGTATTTGAGGAGCAGAGAACAATTTGGAGTGACATGAATAGTTTGGGAAAGGTCTAGACCAGTGTGCTGTCCAACAAACTTTCTGTGACGGAAATCTATACTGTCAGTCATGTAGCCATTAGCCCCATATGGCTAGTATGACTGAAGAATTAAATTTTTTACTTAATTTTAGTTAATACAAATTTAAATTTAATTAGTTCTAGAACTTAGGGGAAAGTAATGCTGGAGATAACATTAGGGGTTGGAAAATGAAGGTGTATGAATGAAATAAAATAACTATAAGAGCAAGGACCAGGTCTCACTATCACTGTGACTGGCACTTGCCATGGTGACCAATGAATAATGACTGAATATATAAAAGTTTGGTTTTCATTCATTAATAAATGGAAGGTAACTGAAGAATTTAAGGAAGGAAGTGATAAGGCCAATATGACCAGATTATTTTATTGGAGAGGAGTAAAAGTGAAGTCAGGAATAGCAACTGAAGGGTTCTTGTACTCTCTCAAGCAAACCAAGGATCTGACCCCAGGATAGTTAGTGACAGAGGAAATGAGAAGGAAGGAGATGAAGTCAGGTATAGAGAAGTAAAATCAGCCCTGGCCGGTGTGGCTCAGTTGGTTGAGAATGGTCTGTGCATCAGAGGTGGCCGGTTCGTTTCTGGTCAGGGCCCATGCCCGGGTTGGGTTCAGAGCCCAGTCAGGGTGCTTATGGGAGGCAACTGATCGATGTTTCTCTCTTGCTCCCTTCCTTTCTCTTTCTTGAAAATCAATAAAAACATATTTTAAAAAAGGAAAAGAAAAGAAGTAAAATCAACAGGCTCTGGCATAATGGAATATGGCAGCAGAGAGAGAGAAAAGTCAGGAATTCTCTCATATTTCTCTCTCATGTTTACTGAGTTCCTACCTCAACTGGCATTTTCCTGTTTGTGAGGAAGATGATAAATCCAGCCCCTGTCCCAGAAAAGCTCACACTCTAATGGAAAGAGGCAGTAGCAAATACACCGCCATTCCTCTCTACATGCCAGCTGGCCAGAGTTCTACGGGGAAAAATAAAGAGTAAGAGGATAGGGACTTTGGGGGGAATGGAGGGTAGCCTAAGGTTCTTCACTGAGCAGGTGACATACAAGAATGGAATGAGTGAGCAATGAAGACATCTAGGGGAGGTACGCTCCTAGCAAAGGGAATAGCAATCGCAAAGGCCTCAAGGCAGGAGCAGGCTTTCTTCGGTCAACAGAGGAAGGAGCTAGAGTGGCTGGAATGAAGTATATGAGAGAAAGCAGGTCAGAGGCTCATCTGGGTCAGCTGCATCACGTGAGGCTTGTAAGAATTTAGGTTTTTACTCTTGAGTAAAGCAGGAAGCTACTGAAACGTTTCGAGCCAAGGAATGGCATGATCTGATTTACATGTAGAAGGACCAGTTGTGGAAAATGGGCTAAAGGGGACAAAGGGGTGGGGAGCAGGGAGACCAGCGAGGCTGCTGCAGTAATCCAGGCAAGGGGCGAGTGCGGTCTGCACTGGGGGCGGAGGTGATGGGAACCGATCAGGTTCCAGAGTCTCTGAAGGGAGAGCTGGCAGGATTTGCTAATTTTAGGTACATAAGAAAATAAAGCCAAGATGACACTAAGGTTTTTGGCTCGAGCAACTCGAAGTGTGAAGTTGCTATTTGTTAACACAAAGGACTATGAAAGGAGCAGGTTTGGAGGGACCACTAGGAGTTCTGTTTTAGACCTTAATATTTGAGATGATTATTACATACCCAAGTGCAAATGTCAAGTGTCCATTAGACATTTGGTTCTGGAGTTCAGGATAAAGTCCAAATATAGAAATATAAAATTGGAAATTACTGACGTATAGATGGCATGTAAAGCCCTGAGACTAGATAAGTTCACCTACAGAGTGAGTGAAATTAAGGAAAATGTCTGTGAAATTAAGGAAAAGGTCTGTAAAAAATAATATAAATAGGGCCACTTTATTACTTTTTTATCCTCACTCCCCCCAAATATATATCTATTTCCATTGCTTTGGATAGAGTGGCTATCTGTCTAGGTAGGTAGATAGGGGCAGAGAGAGAAAGAGACACATCGATGTGAGAGAGACACATCCATTGGTTGCCTCCTGCATGTGCCCTGACTGGGGAATGAACCTGCAACCCAGGTGCGTGCCCTTCACTGGGAATTGAACCCAGGACTCTTTGGTGTGTGGGCCAACGCTCTAATCACTGAGCCAAACAGAGTCACTTTAAAATGGAGTCAGAGCTGCCATCCCAGAGGAACTGCCTTGTAGTCTTACTCCTCAAACCTTTGGAATGTTAAAACCGGATAAAATAACCTTTGGACTGGGCTTAAGGCAACACTGTATCCCAAACAACTATTTGCAAAGACAGAAGGAAAGCAGATATTATGATTATTGGACTGAAAATTAAAAACATTCTTTAGGCCCGGTCGGTATGTTTGAGCATCAACCCATGAACCTGGAGGTCACAGTTCGATTCCCAGTCAGGGCACATGCCCGGGTTGTGGCTTGATCCCTAGTAGGGAGCGTGCAGGAGGCAGCTGATCAATGACTCTTTCATCATTGATGTTTCTATCTCTCTCCCTCTCTCTGAAATAAAAAATATATATATGTATTTTTAAAAAGAACAAAATAGGAATAGTCTTAACCAAGAAAGCAAGACTACATTGTAAACTATAAACCATCGCTGAAAGAAAAAGAACAAAAGAACATAGGTAAATGGAAAGATATTCTGTGTTCAAGGATTGAAAAACTTAAGATGCTGCTATGGACTGAATTGTGTGTCTCTCCCCCACGCCCATTCATATGTTGCAACCGTAACCCTTAATGTCACTGTATTTGGAGATAGTGCCATTGTAAAAGTAATTAAAATTAAATGAGGTCATAAGGGTGAGGTCCTGATGTGACAGTATTAGTGTCACATAAGAAGAGACATCAGAGAGGACTCTCGCTCTCTCTCTGCCACCATGTGAGGACTCATCAGCAAGAAGGTGGCCACTTGTAAGCCAGGAAGAGAAGCCTCACTAGAATCCAACTATGCTGGCACCCTGATCTCAGACTTCCAGCCTCCATAACTATGAGAAAATAAATTTCTGTTGTTTAAGCCACCCAGTCTATGGTATTTTGTTATGGCAGCCTGAGCTGACCAAGATAGATGTTAATATTACCAAGATAGATGTTAATACTACCTAATATGTTAATACACATATTTGATGCAATTCTTATCAAAACTCCATTGATATTTTTTGAAGAAATATAAAAATACATTCTAAAACTCACAGTCTCAATGAACCTTGAATAGGCTAAACACTATATAACCTTGAAAAAGAACAAAGTTGGAGTTCTCACACTTCCTGATTTCAAAACTTACTAGAAAGCTACAATAATCAAAATAATGTGGTACGGACAAAAGGACAGCTATCTAGACCAATATAATATAATAGAAACCCTCATATATATGGTCAAATTATTTTCAACACGAGAACCAAGACCATTTCATGGGGAAAAGGACAGTCTTTTCCTTTGGTGTTGGGAAAACTGGATATCCATATGCAAAAGAATGAAGTTGGACCCTTACCTAATACCACATAAAAAATTTAACTAAAAATGGATCCATGATCTAATCATAAGAACTAATACTATGAAACTCTTAGAAGAAAAGAGAGAAATATCTTCATAACATTGTATTTAGCAATGATTTCTTGGATATAACAATAAAAGCACAGGCAAAAGAAAAACAGATATGTTGTGGACTTCATCAAAACTAAAAGCTTTTGCCCTGGCTGGTGTGGCTCAGTTGGTTGGGTGTTGTCCTATGCACCAAAGGTTGCTGATTTGATTCCAGGTTAGGGCACATGCTCGATCCCCGGTATGGGTGTGCAGGAGGCAGCGGATGAATGTTTTGCTCTCATATCAATGTTTTTCTCTCACATTGATGTTTCTCCCTCTCCCTCTCCCTTCCATTCTCTCTAAAAAAATCAATAACAACATATTTACAAAAAGGGTTAGGTGAAAGTAGTATGAGAAATAGGATATTTATATAGATTAAAGCATTTCTCCATAAGACACTTGGGTAATTATAATGGGAAAAATAGTGGAGAAACCACTGTAATCAAGTGATTAAAGTTAATACTACTACAACTAAAACAAATTGACTTCATGGGTCTCCTGATATGATACACTGAGACCATATCACTTTTGGGGTATTCTTGCCTCAAATGCATAATCTAAATTTAATCATGAGGAAGCAGCAAGCCTCAATTTGAGGAACATTCTACACTACATAATTTATATAATGGCCAGTTCTCTTCAAGTGTCAAAGTCATGAAGGACAAAGAAAGATTGAGGAACTGTGCTAGATCAAGAAGGCTAAGGAGACTTACCAACTAACTTCAACACATGATTGTGGATTGGCTCCTAGTCCAGAAAAAGGACACTAAGAGACATTGGGTTTGTAGATTAGTTATTAATAGTGTATCATTGTTAATCTCCTGGTTTTAATCATGTACTGTGATTATGTAAGATGTTACCATATGGAGAAGCTGGGTTAAGAGTATATGGAAATTCTGTTTTTGCAAGAGTTTTAAACCTAAAACTAATTTAAAATGAAAAGTTAAAAAATTTTTTAAAATGAATACTAGGTGTGTAGAGAGCAGTGATGCCTTTCAGTTCATCTCCAGGGCACCCAGTAATTTACTCCAATGGCACATACTGGAGATCAGGGCATGTTGGCAGGGGGAGGGATGGTGGTGGTCTCTGTTAGTCAAGGAGTTTCAGAAAAAGGAAAGAAAAGCATGTCTTGGAAAATAGGAAGGGTTTCAGGGAAAGAAGAAAACCCGATGCACCATGAACTTGGCTTTTGGACGTTCAAAAGTAATTCTCTCCTTCTCCTCTAAATATTCCCCTTGAAGGAGTCAAGAAAGGAATCATGAGCGACCAAGACATTTTTGAAGGATCATTTTCCTACCCTCCCACACAAGGGAGCCTTGCCATCCTGTCCAATCCCAGGGTTACAGTTTAAGGCTGAGGTTCTCACTGTCCAGGGCCACAATCTGCCCTAATTACACAGGCTCTGCCGTGATCAGAGCACTGCAGTCACAGACACCTCACACCCACACACCTGGGGCTGCACAAATGGTAACTCACAACCACAACCACACACCCACTCTTGAGACACACAGTACACAACCACACAATCACAGACACCTCCACACCCTTGAACAACAGTCATAATCTCACACCTACTAAGAAGACACAAAGTCACACAATCTGACTACCATCACACACAGCCACTCTCACAGAGTCACAGGCTTCCTAAACCAACACCCACAAATTCCTGGCACAGCCACAATTACATACCCACTTAGAGGATACCGCCAACTCAATGTTAACCAGTCACAATTCAACATTCACTCTGGAGACACACAGTCACACTTACACAGGAAAAGATAAACCACACCCCAAGGGACACACTTGGAATATACAGGCAGTGTCACCACCCAGTCACAGACACACGACAACTGCACATGGTAACACACACGGTCACAGTATCACGCAACCATACACCCACCTTGGACACACTGCGATCGTAACCCAGATACCCGCACCCATCACACATTTACAACTACACCCACATCTCCAAGAACAAGGCGTGCGGTCATACGTCCACAACGGGGACACAGTCACAAGGACCAAACCACACTCCAACACAGTATCACACATGGTTACAAAGACAACCAGACACACTTCCTGAAGACAGGCGAACACAACCGCACACTCACAGGCACCCAACCACAGCCACAAAGCACTCATTCATAATCCGCCATTCTCAGGGCGCGACCGCCGGCGCGCAAAGACCTAAAGCTCTGGACACGCCCCATCCCCGCCCCGGATTCCCAGACCCCTCACCTTCTGCCTCCCCTTGGTAGCGTCCGGGTCCCCGCGGAGTAACGATATCGCCACCACGTTGCGACGTAACGTCCGGCCGCTGTGGACTCTGGGAAACGTAGTCCAGATCCAGGCCAGCCAGACAAGATGCCGGCCTCGTACTTCGGAATCTGAGCGTGGCTCGTTTGACACGGAGCACGGGAGACTTCAAAGAGGGAGTCCCCGTTCAAAACCTCCCACCAGGCTTGAGCTGATCTTCCAAGGCAGGACCACTCACCCCGAGAGCGCCACAGTCACAGAAAGAGGCAGCCAAGTTCGCGTTGGAGAGACAGAGGCAGAGTGCCGACCAGCAAAGCCTTAAGGGAAATGTAGTCCAAGGCCGGAAAAGCAGCGTTGCTGTTCATAGAAGGTAACCAGATACCACCGTGGGCCTGGACTTGGTGACGATGCGAACTGCGTCGCGGAGACTTGTGGGAGTGCTCAGTAGCCTTCCCAATGCGCAGGCGCGGGGCACCGAGTGGACATTTTGGTCTTTGTCCGCTGGTCAGTCGGCCTCTGGGTCCACGTGGCGTGAAAATAGGAGGTGGGATCTGGGCATCTTGGGCCGGTCGGGTTCGGGAGGTTGAAGGGGAGGATTCTGGATCTATTGGGGCGCGACGGGGGGGTGGGGGAGTGGGCTTAAGAGCTTCTGGCCTACCTGTGGGGTGGGGTTGGAGGCCTGTGAGGAGGGTTCGAACGTGCGCGACCCTCCGTTCGACCGGATGTTTGAGGTTACTGAGTGAGCAACTGGCTGCAGGATTCTGTGTGGATGCGTTAGAGAGGGAGCTGTGGGCGACCACAATTGAGGTAATAACATTTGAGCAGCACTTCCCTTGTCGAAAGTGCTGATAATAACGGTCCCGTCTTCCTGGAGCATCAATTTTACTCGACGTTTTGAAGAGGGCAGGAGCTAAGTGGGAAATAATTGGAAAATGGATTTTTATATAAAAACGCATTTCTTAACTGGGGTAGAATGCAAATCATTACGATTCCTTTTTTTTTTTAAGCAACCGAGAATGTTTCAAAGGAACTTTTTGTTTGAGAGCGTCTGTTTCGGACGACCTCAGATTCCCCTGACTTTTGGGGTATTTAAATAGGGTTGCGCCCTGGCCAGTTTGGCTCAGTGGTTAGAAAATCGGCCGGCGGACTGAAGGGTCCCGGATTCCATTCCGGCTAAGGGCACGTACCTCGGTTGCAGGCTCAGTCTCCGGACCCAGTGGGGACACGTGCGGGAGGCAACAATGGATATGTCTCTCACACATGGGTGTTTCTGTCTCTCTCCCTTCCACTCTCTCTGAAAAGCAATGGAAAAAATGTCCTCCGGTGAAGATTAGGAAAAATAAAATAAGAATAGGGCTGCTATTAAGTCCTACATAAAATATCAGCCTTGCACTTTGAGAAGCAGTGGCGTGCAGCGGAGAAAGCCCAGGATTTAGGGAGTCGGGTTTGGAGTCCTAGGTTAGACAGTTACTTCCTTCTTTGAAGGAAACTTAGTTGTTGGAATCTTTATCCGTGAGTCTGGACTAGATTCTAGGTGTCCTAACTCCTAAATGAATGGAGGTGTTCTCAGGTTGTATAAATTTTGTGAAGTAATGAAAATTATTTCTGTTTTCAAAGATGCTTTTTGCAAGGAATCCACCGGCAGTTTCCTTAACGTAATTTTTAATAAGAGAGTTAAAGTTACTGGGTACCAAATTAAAATAGACAAACAACAGCACTTAGAAGATATAATAGAAGAAAACCACTATTTACAAGAGTAATAAAGTATTCCTGAATAAACTTGAGAAATAAGCAGAACTGTTAGAAAAGAATTTAAAAATACTAAGGGGTATAGCATAAAATGTGAACACATAGACCATGCTTCTCAATAGGAAGATGTAAAAAAACTTAAGTAAATTAAAGTATCTATAGTTGTTGCCCCTCCCAACTAGATAAGGTGATTCTGCACTTCATCTGGAAAAATGGACAATCTAAAATAGCCAGTAAAACTGAAAAAGAAAAGCAATTGTGTGGGGACCTGGAAGCCCACTGGTAACATTTGAAAATACAAATCTTTGGAAGTTAAATAGTATTAGCATGAAGCTGGCCTAGGAAGGACAATTCGGCAATATCTATAATAATTGCAAATGTATTTTTTTTGAGCCAGCGATTTCATATCTGGAAATTAATCCTACAAATGTATCTGCGTTTGCATTAAATAATACAGGTACGAGGTGGTTCTTTGCATTAATGTTTGGCATAGGAAAAGATTAGAAACAATTCTTGCTTATCATGTGGAGACTGGTTGGATAAAATAATGGTACATCTATACAACAGAATAATATGCAGCTGTAGAAAAGAATGAACAGGAAGCTTTTCTGTATGCTGACATTTGAAATAACTCCAAAAATAAAGTGAAGAAAGCAAGATGCAGAATGTATGGTATGCTTCATTTAGAGTAAGAAACGGGAGAAATAAATATATATTCAAAAGTTAGTTTTTGTTTTTTTAAAGAGGAAGTAGGCCATGGAGCCATGCTGCCTCAGTTAACTCCTTCTTCTGCCACTTTGTACCTAGGTGACCTCAGGTACTTAAACCTTGTGCCTCAGTTTCTCATCTAGTAATATAGAGAAAATAATAATAGTGCAGTGGTATCTCAGTTTTCAAATGTAATCCGTTCTGGAAGACCATTTGAGTTCTGAAACGTTTGAAAACTAGGGGATCAACAGCCGACAGCTAGGCCTCAGGATCTTGCCCTCAGTGGAAGCCATGTGGCATGTTTGATCTCTGAGGCGTGTTCAAAATCCCACAGCCTTTTGATGTATGGGACAATACTCGAACCAACTGAGCCACCCAGCCTGGGCAGTGTGTATAGTCTCTATAAGTATAGTCACAGTAACATTCCATCTGTGTCTTTAGCAGCAATGATATTCTGACACCTGACAAATTCCCATTTTGATTCTAGACCTATTCTGAGCTCCTCATCTACATATACAATTGCCTAATGGATATATCTGCTTGTATGTTACCCAGAAACCTGACACTCTGAATTTCCAAACTTGATCTCCTTCCTCTTGAAGGTTGTCTTCAGCCAACTCTGTGTACATTACTGTTTAAGGTTCTAAGCCGTCCATCTCTGTCACACCCCAGTACAAATTGGTGACTAAGCTTTTCCAACAAACGTATTGTAGATAGTATGTATGTAAATAGTAAGTTAAGTTTTTTCAGAATTTTGCTTTTTAAGTATTATTTCAACATTATAGAAAAGTTAGAATAGTACAGAGAAGTCCCATATACCCTTTATCCTAATTCACCATTTACATGTTTTTCCCCTTTATTTTTCCTTTTATCTCTCAGTATGTATTTGTGTATTTTTTTCTCTCCTCTGAAGCATTTAAGACTAAGTTGCATACATGCTCCCTTTATCTCTAAATACTTCAGCATGAATTTTTTTGAGAACAAGGACATTCTTTTTATAACCATAGTACAGTAGTCAAACTCAGAAAATTTAACATTGATACATTACTGTCATTTAATCCAGTTCATATTCAGGTTTTTGTCAGTTGCTCTTATAATGACCTTAAAAGTGTTTTTTGAATTAATGGATGTACATATTTACAGGACATTTGGAATATATAGTTTCACTCAGAATATCATGTAAACAAAGTAAATATTAGGATTCCAGGAAAACTTACTGGGAGTTTTTTTTATTCCTAAATATTTTCAGAACAACTTCCTATGCATTGTATCTGTGTGGCTTTGTTCTGTTAGGCATATGTTGTTACAGTCGTAGATAGGATTGAATTCATCCAGGAATAAGGGCCTCAGTTAAAACCCTCTCAAGAACCAATGAAGGAGAGTGGTGCTAGAGAACAGTTAAAACTAGTCAGGTAAGGTGTGAACATCTTTCCTGTGTAAGTAGAATTTTAAAAGTAAGTTTTCTTCTTTGCCCATTTCAGTATGTGTGGAGGCTTAGGTGGTTTAATGAGTATGGCTTTGAAATTCAGGATTCAAGTAGTCTTAGTCCTTTTGCTCATATAATTGTACTTTAATCTTTAAGGCAAAAAGGTCATTACTTTGTTTTTTTCCACAGGTACCCTTTCTTGTGCATCCCTGGAAATTGCACCCTCCTTCTCCTTCAGAAGGCCCTGAAGCCTCAGCCTGAGTTCTAGGATGGTATTTTGGCCCCAGCATTAACATTCTAGTGGTGTGTCATTTCCCCAATAGCAGGTTATAAGTTAACCAAGCTGTACGTGATTCTCTGTTGGAGCAAAAAGACAGATTGGATGGTGGAGAAAAGTGGAAAGGAAATTTGTCCAGGTGAGTGAATGACAGCCAGACAGGTTACAGTTGTTCAGTAAGCACTGACACCTGAAATGCTCTTAAGGATATTTTCTTATAGGCCCTAGTCTTCATACCATCACTTGGTATGAATTTTTTAGATACTTGAATGACATTTCCAGTTACCATTTTTTCTGTTTCACTACTCTCCTCCTTTAGATTCTAGAGGACCATGTTCCCCTGTTATCTTTAATCTGAATGTCCACACTTGCACTTCATTTATACTGCCTCTGTAATTGCTCTCTCGTTGCTCCCTCAGTCTCGTATCCCCTGATGTGTGCAGACTCCTTTCCTCATGCATGGTCTTTTTTATAGGTTTTGAGTCTTTGCATATTGTCTGACACTTAGGTTTTTTATTACTGACCACTTTCTCTTATTCTTTCAGTGGTTAAGTGCTTCAGAATTTTATTTTACAACAGTAATCATACTTCATGTTGTCTTTTTCACCTCCCCGTTATACATCAATAAACTGCCTCCCTCCTTTTTGCCCTCATGTACCTCTTTCAGAAGTTGTTGCCTTAGAAATCAGTTCTGACTTTCTGCTGTGTGTGTGTGTGTATGAATGTATGGGTCTGTATTTTTTAATTTAATACATGAGTTAGTAACAAAATTTTGAACATTAAGGTAAAAAATGAAGAAGTCTCCTCTAACCTCTGAGCTTTGGTCCTATCCTGTTTCAAAGATGCAGTCACTTTTACTTTTTATCTTTATCTTTTTAAAACATTTTAAAAATTGATTTTAGAGAGAGGAAGGGGGGGAGAGAGAGAGGGAGAG